TCTTTTGTTGCTGCAGAAGGAAACGAATGTTTAAAAAAGAAAATCCGCCGGCCTTAGGATGACAACCCATTTTGCAGGTTCATATTTTCCTCCCTTCCTCCCCCTGCTTTAAGATGAAAGAAATAAAAGTCTCTGCCTTGAAAGGTCCAAGAAAAGCTTGCGTGGGTGTTTTGCTTAGCGCCAACTCTGAACTTTTAGACAATGGACCGGAACCACGTCAGCGCCCCAAAAGTTACCTGATGATCTCCTCGTTCCCCCAACAACACTGAGTTGTCAAATGTAAGTGTCTTGTCATCCCATTCAAATCCCTACAGAGTCTAAATTAGTTAAGGAGAGGATATGGGGTTAACCCCATGGATCCCACCCATAAACGTCTTTGGGTGGGGATGGGAAGGGGCCCTGCCCAGGACAGCAGCGTGAAACTTTGTTTAGACTGGTATTTGTGTGGATTACCTGTTTGGATTGCCTTCTGCAGGCTACCACTACACACCCCTAGGACCCGCTGAAGTCCCCCTCAACAAACAAACAAAAATGGTGGCTGCAGGAGGCGTGGGCAGCCCCGTGGCCCTGCACAAAGGGGTAAGATGGTAATCCTGGGAACGTTCGCGAAGTTTGTCCCTGGGCAGCCTGGAGGAACCGAATGCTAGATCACAGCGTAGATGTCCACTGCAAGGCCAGGGCCCTTGGCGGCACACTACCCCACGTCCGCTCGGCGTGGCGAGGCAGCTTTTTTTCTGCACTGCCCAGACAACAACCCGAAAACGTCCCTCAGTGTTGCTCTGAAATCAGGCGTTCGGCAGTCAAGCCTCTGCCTGGACGGAGAGGTTTAAGAGGGAATCCCGTCTCCTGCCTTCCCTGGAAGCCCCAGGCCGTCCGGCTTTCAAACCGTCGGGGAGTTGGGGATTCGGCAGGCTGACCTGGTGGGCCCAGGAGGGAAGACTTGCGCGCCAGGCTAAGGCTGGGAGAACTTCCCCAAGGCCGCGACGTACAGGGACCCTCGGCTTGCGCCTTCCCCCATCTCTTAATCCCCCCTCTGCTACTCTTCCCCAGGAAAATAAGCCCTAAAATCTTCAACTGTAAGGAAGTCAGTGCGCTTTCAGCTTTCCGGACGCGAGGGAGCGGTCACCCAAGGCCTGGTGGGCCGAAGCGGGCGAGTGCGGCTCCCAGAGCGAATCGCTTTAGGCGACGGAGACACGACCTGCGAATGGCACGGATCTAGGAACTTTTGTACCGAATTATCCGGATTTCTGGGAAACTCAGGGAGTAAGAACTTTTTCCAAACCCCTGATTTCTCCCGATTTCCTCCAAATCCCCAGCGAAACGTAAGAAAAATGAGAATAATTTTTAAAAAAGGAAAACAGCAGAGCTCTGCACCAGGTTTGTGGGCACGTTTCACTCCCCGGATAACCCCCTTTCCTCCCTCGGTCACCTAGCCACCCTATCCCGATGCCACTCAAACAGTCTAGCATTATTTGGTCCCGGCCGTTTCACTCCAGTGCACATCGGGGGCTGAGATCTAAATACTCATTTGATATAGCGCCGTAATCCTTTTCTCATATTTGATGGGAATGTTTTCCATATCCCAGTATTTGACAACATCTCCCTATAGGGACAGGTTTGTATTTATGTTGGTAAAATGTCCCCTGCCTCAAAGTCTATTGTAACCCAACACCTGACAACCCCGAGTCCCATTTCTGTTTGCAGAAAGGGTTTATTCAAGCACATAATGGGATCCCAGCAGAAAGCCTTTCAGAACAAGGGGCTATGGTAAACTTCACCACATGAACTCCGTTTCCAGGGCTATTAAGCTTTTAATTGGAAAATAGCAGAGGAAATTTCAAGGTGACTATAACGTGTTAGCAGTTAGTGCCGAGAAGAAAAGCCCATGAGGGAATGAATGTAGTAAGCATATGGTCCGAATCACATTTAGGAGGAGCGGCCGGCTTCTAAGTCTCTGCAGCTCGTACACGTATGGGAAAAATCATCAAAGAAATTGGAAGGGAGGAGGGAGGATTACAAGTAATGTAACCTCGCTAGACTAGAAGCACTAGCGTTCTCTGGGTGGTGGTGTTTGTGTTTTCAAACCACAATTAGGTAGAATTGTGGCAGGTATTAAAAGTGAAAGGGTGAAAAATGTGTTGGTCTCTCTCGCCTCGCACACAAACGCACCGTGCGCGTGTACCTAAACGCTGGGAATGTAGGCGCCCTTGCTAAGAAACGACGTGCAGGCTCCAAACGTCGGAGTCCTGCTGCCTGCTCCTCGCCCCCAAGCAATGCTCAATCAAAAGGACAGTTGCATATTGTCCCGGATGTAGGACACATCAAGAAAGGCTCTGCTTTGCTGGATTCTCTGGAAGGGGGAGGTCTGGGTTCCTAGTTTGCTGTTTAGATCGTGACAACGATGGTGTTGGTATGGCGGACACTGGAGCCCGGGCTTGCAGGACCTCCTCCACAGGCACAAGTGCCCCCTGTCCTTGCTGGAGAACTCAGCACGCACCCCTCGGCCTTCACCCAGTCCGTGCCTCTTGGTATCACTCTGGCCAGCTTCAGACTGAAAGAAGGTGATGGTGGGATAATGCCCAGCCGGGCAATTTGCAACGTGGCGACAAGAAACCGCTTTCTTCACATCCACAGTCCTGTCCTTTCTCTCGCTTGGCTGGGGATACATTCGAGCTCGAGCCCCACCCCCGCCCTCGCCCGGGGAACTCGCTAAGCCTCGCCCTGGGGCGCTGGGTGGAGGACGATTTACTCCTCCGGGGCTGGACGTCAACTTCCCGCACGAATTTGGAAGGGAACGGGAATCTTAGCGGGAAACCTGCTCCAGGCCTGCTGCAGCAAAGGGGCGAGAAAATCGCTGCGGCCCCGCCGCCGCCCCTGGGCAGTGCTGCTGGGTCCTGCGCCTTCTGGAACTCTCGATCGCCGCCGGGGTGCGAGCGGACTCCTGCGCTTCCGCCGGGCCCAGGGCTTCCGGCCACCTTCCGGGGTCGGGCTATGGCCCGCGCCGCTCGCCCAGGGCGCACGAAGAGGACCCCGCCCCGTGCCCACTGCAACCTCGACCTGGAGTCCTCGTGCCCACCCTGCAAGGCGAAACGTGCCGCGCTTGCTCGTAAGACTTTAAAAACAAAAGGGGAGGAAATACTTTTAGGTAATGTGAACAAATTCAGGAAAGAAGCAAAAAAAAAAAAAAAACCCTGGCACACCCCCACGGGCCCCAGCGATTGCTCAGGCGCTGGGCGCACACCCGCAGGCCCAGCCACTTTTCCAGAAAATTCTCCCGCCACCTCCTCCCCTGCAGCTCAACAAAAGCCCCGCGAAGGCCGTGCGTGCCCGGGGGAAAGGAACCCCGTTCGGTTCCAAGAGCCCGCGAATAATGAGGGGAAACGTCCGGGCCGCCAGCACCCCAGGAGGAGTGGGTGAGGTGAGAACTGGACGCCTGGGCCCGCCTCAGGCAGAGAGCTAGGCCGCCAGGCTCTGGGTCCGCAGCCTGCGGCCCGAGCCCTGCGGGCGGGGCGACTTCCGGAAGGCCGGGGCCCGCCCGACGGCCACGCCCTCTGCCTTGGCCCCGCCCACCTGCGTCCAGACCGCCGCTGTGCGCTGCAGAAAAGTTTTCGAGTGGGAAAGGCAGGGCCGAACTTCTGCCAGTGTCCGTTTAAAGACCGACGGGCGCTTTCGTGCGGGGCATCTTTGGAAGGCGGGACTCTCGAGTTGTTGGCGGCTGCGGAGCTCTGAAGGCGCAGGCACAGCCGGGCAGCGTGTCCCAGGCCTACTCCGCGTGTGCAAGGAGGGTTAAAGGATAGGGGCCTCGCGCTAGCCTCCCGCGCACACTTCCCGGACCAACCCAGCCGGTCCGTGGACGGCAGCAGGGACGCGATTTCCCTGCGTGCTCGGGGTCTGGTCCACGCCGCTGCTCCGGGCTGGGGTCCTCGTGCGCGCACCGCAGGCGGGGCCCCAGCTGCGGCCTGGGCCGCGGTTCTGCTTCGGCACGACGCGGGCCCGCCGGGACCCTGGAGGGGTCGCCCGCGTCCCCAGCATCGCAGAAGCCGAGGCGGTCTTGGGGAAGGCGTGCGCGTGCTTTGCACAGCTCCCAGCCCCCCTTCGCGCGGCGGGGCCTTGCCCGCCGTGAGAGGACGACCGGGAGAGCCTAACTCCGTGCCCCATGCAGAGCACGGGTCATCGCCAGGCTCAGCAGCGCTGT